CCCTAAACCATAGCTCTTTATTATTTGCACGAAGCTTAGGCAAGCAGATAAACGAAGTAGAGTGTGAAGCCTTGATGGTAGTTCAACAATGTCCTATCGGAGACACTTTTTTTTTCTGCTGGTCTAATATGTTTAAGACATTGTAGATCTTCATGATGTCAAATGTTACTGTTGTCACTTTATTCCACAAGCTGTAACTAAAATAACCCACAATGTAGCTGCTATCGCCACTTCTACCTCAACTATACAATGTTGATTGATTGTATTCCCTCTTTTGTGCCAGCATTTGTTTGACCATATTGTTAATTTTGAGTAGATTGTTAATTTTATTTAGTTTATCAAAAAAAACTAAAAAGTATAATATTTGTGCTCTTTAGATGAGCTTCTCCAAAACAACTTAAAACAAGATTTGGTCAAGGAAAAGAGCTTTTGCATCCAATAAGTGCTTTTAGACTTTACAAACATTGGGATTTTCTACCCCCAAGATACAATGTTCATACCTAGTAAAAAATTTATTTTTACATTTGTAGGACTACTTTCTAATTTTCCTGACTTGAGAGGTATTGGGACTATTTCTTCTTCTTGAAAAATGAAGATTCTTGATAAGTGTTAGGGGGGCCTGAAATTTTAAAAAAATTAATGCTCTAACATCATGCAGCACAATTTTTTTTATCTATGTAACATCGATTATAGTTATTGCGTTGAAACGTTTTTCATTTTATGACAATGACTTCCAACTTCTGTGGTCAACATCATAGCATATTAAATCACACACGAAGGAAATTGTACCCGAAAGTTAANCAAGATATCATTCCATAAGTGATTGGATTGAAAAAGGAAACTTAAAATTTTTTCACACGGAACACACCTTGCGATCGCAAGGAGTATCTCCATGCGATCGCAAGGAACAACTAATTTGCCAGAAAAAGGTCCTGTTGAAGTCTGGGCGATCGCATGGTTTATCTTCCGGACTGCTTTTGGTATTTTGATCATATCTTTCTCTTCTGATATCCGATTGAGGTGATTCAAAATGTGTTAGAAAGCTTACGTAAAGGCCTACAAATATTCCAGAAGTATCAATCTTAAAATTCGAATGTCTTCTATGTCAAAAATGGATCTCAAACTAAGACTAAAAATTCAAAGCATAACTTTTTCGGCTGGAAGTTGATTTGTGATAGTGCTTCGACTCTATTTCATCCATTCGGCTTTTTTACTCATCCAATTGATACCCAACACTCTCAAATATTCATCGTGAGATCGACACAACTTTTCAGTATTTGCAATTGAGTCCTTGAACTTCCGTTTTCCTCCATTTTGATCATTTTCGCTCGTTTTCACATACATTTCATTACATCTATCAATGTAATCCTACAAATACAATTTCTATCGAATTAAGCCATATTCAAGTATTTATGTTAATAATTAGTCATGTAATGTAGCGAAATACACATTAGAAAACGCACTTATCACTTAGGCAAGCAGATAAATGAAGCAGAGTGTGAAGCCTTGATGGTAGTTCAACAATGTCATATCGGAGACACTTTTTTTTTTTTCTGCTGGTCTAATATGTTTAAGACATTGTAGATCTTCATGACGTCAAATGTTACTCTTGTCACTTTATTCCACAAGCTGTAACTAAAGTAACCCACAATGTAGCTGCTATCACCACTTCTACCTCGACTATACGATGTTGATTGATTGTATTCCCTCTTTTGTGCCACCATTTGTTTGAGCATATTGTTAATTTTGAGTAGATTGTTAATTTTATGTAGTTTATCAAAAAAAAAACTAAAAAGTATAATATTTATGCTCTTTAGATGAGCTTCTCCAAAACAACTTAAAACAAGTTTTGGTCAAGGAAAAGAGCTTTTGCATCCAATAATTTTTTCCTGACTTGAGAGGTATTGGGACTATTTCTTCTTCTTGAAAAATGAAGATTCTTGATAAGTGTTAGGGGGGCCTGAAATTTTAAAAAAATTAATGCTCTAACATCATGCAGCACAATTTTTTATCTATGTAACATCGATTATAGTTATTGCGTTGAAACGCTTTTCATTTTATGACAATGACTTCCAACTTCTGTGGTCAACATTATAGCATATTAAATCACACATGAAGGAAATTGTACCCGAAAGTTAATATCGATTATAGTTATTGCGTTGAAACGTTTTTCATTTTATGACAATGACTTCCTACTTCTGTGGTCAACATCATAGCATTTTAAATCACACACGAAGGAATTTGTACCCGAAAGTTAAATTAAATTGAATAATGTAATTTGTATTATTATCTACTTTCATGCATTAAAGACATGGCCTGAAGCAAAATTGGAAATTTGAAAACATATTTTTTAGCTTGGTGAATGACATTTATTGTCAAGATCATAAGTTCCAACTTATAATAAATATGAAAGCATGTTATATGACAATGTATAGGAGACAAATGAAATTGTACTTCGAAAGTTTTAATGGGTTGAGCGAAGTTTTTCGATTTTATTATTTTTTCTTTTCCAGTAAAATACAAAGCTCAATATTCAAAATACAATCAGCTAGTCCATAGTACTTCAGCTTAAGATCAAATTTATTGAGTAACTAATGAGTCAAAAGGATATAATTATGTGTAATCAGTGTTTGTGCGATCAGTTCCACCATGTTCTTGTTTGAATGGCTTGAGAAGTTGCTAAAAGTTGATATCAAAATCAGCAATAACATATTTCATGATCATAACTTTTATCAACTTTTCAATCACATATTTCATTAATTTTTATCGAAATGCTCAATGGATGCGTCCAATTAGATCCTGAGGCTATGATTGTGTGAATTTCATAATTCATAATTTTTAACAGATTTTTATATTTAATAACATCTCAACATGAGTATGACCTATTGATTGTGTGTTTTGTAATGTATGTGATCAAATTATGTTTAATAGTGACTATTTGTGACTAGATTTGTGTAAATTATTATTGTTTGTAATCATGTCTGTATAAACTGTTATTGTTTGTGACCAAACTTGGGTTATCTATGATTAATTGTAACTAAATTTATCTTCAATGTGACCGTCTGGGACCAGATCAATCTTAACTGTGATTGTATGTGACCAAGTAAATGTTAATTTGATCACACAGTCACAATTAAGCATCAAATACGGATTTTTTAACAAGCTCAAACATCAAGCATCAAATACGGTATTAAATCAATTAATCAAACGCAGATGGGCGAGGGACGACGGCAGACCGCAGTATGAACAAAAAAATAAACTTCTCAAGCAGAATCGCAGATTATACCTGACTTTTCTCAATTTTTGCACAACGAGGAGTCGAGGACAACACTCAACAAAGCCTGAAGTGGAGGAGAACAGAGGCAGTCACGCAGATGTGACTGGTTAGAGAGATGGACGACGGGGGAGTCACGGGACAAGGAGAACAGTCAACAGAGGCAGTGGCGACTCAGACGAGAGAGACGAAAATGTCATGAAGTGAAGGGGCGACTTAAGGCGAGTACTGAAGACCTGATGTAGTGATGTTTCTAGTGTTTTTTGGATTGAGCTGGGTAGATGAAGTTGGATCGTTTAGCTTTAGCATATTAGTCAAAAACAAAAAAATGAGCTCAGAAGTTCAGGTGGGCCTGTGCCCACCCTGAGCCTTATTGGGCTTCGTCCCTGCTCGTATGCACAACTTTTGTCCACACTTTTGGCCTTTAACCTTGCCATTGTAGTGCTTAGCTTTCGGCCCCATGCATGCAATTATCTTGCCACCCTACCTTCGACTCTCGCCTTGCCCACTCATTTTGCATTGTCGAGTATAAGTTTTGACTTCAATATCTTCTGTATGTAGATACTCCTTATTATGCGGAAAAATTAAAAATGTAACAGAAGCCACCAATTTGTAGAAGTAATATTGATACAATTTAATTAATTTATTAGATAATACCTAAAATTATAAATTATAAAAAATATCTAGCCCCTGTTTGGGCTCCATTTTAATTATAATGTATTTTTTTGCCTCCTTCTTTTAATCACACATTTTTCAATAAAATAATATTATAAGTAAATTCAAAAAATTTCCCCCTTTCAAATCACATATTCTTCAAAAAAAAAAAATCACAATTCAAAAAGTACATTTTCCTCCAAAATATATTAAAATGGAGCTCAAACATGGGCCTAATTTCACGACCTGAAACAACATAATGAAACTTGCTGACATGGACTTTAATACTAATGCATGCTAACCTGGGCTTTCACGTGGACTTGGGTTAATATACTCGTTGTCAAACTTTTACTCTAACTGCAATTAGGTCCCTGAACTTCAAAATTACAGCAATTTAGTCATTTAACTTCAATTTAACAACAATTAAAAATTCGACAGCATTATTCTGTTATGTTTTTTTTTTTTAATATCATTTTCAAATTGGAAACAAAATTGACTCTAAACTATTGGATTATTTCCTGAGTTAATTAAATCACGTCACTTTATTTTCTCCATATAAGTACTCGATTTCTCTAATTCAAAGTGTTTCCATATGATTTGAATTTATGTCACTACAAAGGATTATCAAAAAATGAATATTACAAAAATGTAGTGGGTTGGGACCATGTTCTGCTACTTGACATCGTTTAGCTAATAACCAATAGACTTGTTTCAGCAACATTATTAGCAACAAAAAGAAAAAATTATTAAGATTTGAAACTCAGCAACCCAATTATAATTGAGGCCAAAGGTTGATGACCCACATGGTACAATTAAACTCATATATAGTTTAACAACGCAATAACTGATTTTCACGACCTTCTCTCTCACACATTCCCACGTTGATTTATGAATTTTTCCTTTGACAACACATGACTATTACGTGCATGTATAACTTTTTCTCCTATATATTTGCAACACATTAGCATTATCCAAACTTGGTTTCCTACAATGCCTAAGTCTTCTCTTTAACTTCTTCAACTCCTTGTTTTGTACTTTAACCTAATTCAGATTTCAACTAAATCAAGTAACCATGTCGAAACTGCCTGTCGAACTGGATTTTTCCCGCATGGAGAGGGAGAGGGAGAGGAAGGAGCCTCCCATTTCTGTACGCAAAAGAGGCTTTCGTGGTTTGTATTTCAATAATTTTAACTTTTGAACGAATTATTTCATGTTATTGTATTATGTGTTTATTTTTTGTGGGAGTATAGACATACAAGGTATTGTATCGAAGCTTAATCCGGAGATTGTGAAGAATGTCATTCAATCTGCTTCTTTGGGTCCGAATAAACCAATTCAGACTTTTTTCACACCATTAAGGTATGTATATTGATTATTTTTGCTGTGTGTCTGTAAGTTATAGAATTTATCAGACATTTTCCCCCTTTCTTTTTCCAGGCCAAGTTGTGGTTTCAAGAACAATGCTGAAACTGGAAAAATGACCATTGTGTACAATGGGAAAGTCTTTGATTTTGATCTTTCTGCACTCAAGGTCTGTCTGTTTGTTGCGTTTTTAATCCAATTTCTTTTGCATTTGGCACTTTCATTGATCATAGTGAATTTACAGGTGCACAATATTCTGAAAATTGCTGCTGAGGAAAAACTCTCAAAATCTGCTGAATCCACGTGTGAACAAGATCTTTTGGAATAGCAATTAATGTTGTCAACCTTTTTAATTTTTTATTTTTCCCGAAAATCAGCATTATATCGTATTTTTTTATAAGAAAAATTTGTTTCTTTCTTCTGGAATGTGGATCTAGGTCTTCCCATGGCTAGGAGGAAAACTTTGTACATGTTTTTGGAGAAGTGAGATGGGAGGTGATGTGATGTGATGTTGCTTAATTGGGACTTTTAAAGATTTTAAAAGTTTTGACGTATTCAATGTAGATCCCCTAAATTCAATCTTGTTTCTAATATCCATTTTTCGTGTTCATCAATGATCAAAATACTTGTGAATTTAGCTTTAAGTTAGTTACTGAGAAAATAAAAAATTGAAGCACGACTATTAGTAATGATTTCCGTAAATGTTTGCAGGATGGTGTCACCATGGATTAAGCCAAGCAAAAGACTGATCAATTTGGATTATTAATTTCAACTAAAAATCATTTATATATTTTGTTTCTTCTGATTATTAATCAGGATTCAATGAAAACTGTTTTCCCAAAGTATAAATGTATAAGAGAAATTATGGTTGACATCAATTTTGACAAAAATAAAAAAGAAAGAAAAATCAGTTGCCCTAATTGATTACTTTCTTAAAGTGCGATTAATTACGTAGCAGCATATGAAAACTTAATCACCGTATGTGGATTTTGATCATACTACATTATGTCTCATGTGGTACATGCAATTCGTAACTTCGCTTATTATGTAAAGTGAATCAACAGATGCGCATATACTTTATTATGTGATTAAACTTTTATTTCAGCCAAATGGAATTCCCTGCTGAGATGTAGATGACTGTGGAAGATCATATTTTTTTAATGGAGTTCACTACATCGACTGTTTATGAAGTCCGTAAATACTAAAATACGTGTTAGCTACATCTTTGAAAATTTGTTGGAACTTGAATCGAGAACAATGGTTCCTCGTAGCCTGTTTGTCGATTTGAGGTATCTTCGTCTTTGGAACTTTGACCTCTGAATGACGTGTAGAGGACGAAACCTCATATTACCTTCTGGCAGACTGCTAAATCCGCCGATTGGGGGTGTCGATTTTTTAATTATTAGGTTGGAGCATCTCCATGCAGGCTCACGATTTGGCTGATTTTTGGTTGAAATTGTATGATGGTGACGATTAGGCTGATTCTTGAATGTATTGAACACTCATCGGTCGAGATATATGATAATCGAAATATGAAGAAACAGTGTTTATATGGATTCGGATTGGTTTTTTTTTTTTTTTAAACAAAACCATGGTGGATCGGTTAAACCATGGTTTGAAGCCTCAAACCGCTGATTAACCGAATCAACCCAACCAACTTACATGTTTACCCTTTTTTTTAAAAGAAAAATAAAAATCAAAAGATAAGATGTATAGCATGTTTGGCTAAACTTAAAATTCAATTAAAATTGAAAATATAGCTGGTATTGGGTCTCATTCGTCTAATAAAAATCAATAATAACGGCTAATTTTTTAATTTTAATCTGATTTTAATCTCTACCGAACACACCCATAATCTCATAACTATATTTCAATTCCCTCCAATATATGATGTTGCCAATAAATAATAGCACTAAAAATTTCATTTCACAATTTCATTATAATGCATAAAAAAATAAAAAAAATCTTAAGTTTTTTGTTGATATGTCCCTATTAACCTGATTTTATTCGTTAGTCAACAGTTCTTGTAATATAAAATTATTTAGTTATTTTATTTTTTGTAATTTAAGTGGACCCAAATTTTAGAAATTTTTTTTTTAAAAATCAATTTGGACTAAAAGTTCAAACCGACCAATCGAACCAAACCAAATCGATTTGGTTTAGGTCGGTTCTGTTTAAGAGCTAAAGTGTGTTGGTTTGGGTTGAAATTCATCCAAACCGACTGTTGACACACAAAATATTCAGCTCAACTCAAATGGCCCAAGAGAAGAAGCCAATCTAAAGAGATTAGAGTAAAAGTCCAACCAGAAAT